GGGGAAATTCATCCCCTGTGCAGAGGCCAATGCGACCGCTTAGGGCTTGTTCTGAGGAGTTTAGAGATCTGAGTTGGTCCTCTGCATGAGGGTGAATTTCAACATCCGGACATGGATGGGGAGAGTGGGAAGTGGAATGGATCTGGGCAGCCTGGTGCATCCAAGCTGTGGAGAAGGGAGAATCCTAGAACCCCCGGGCTGGCAGGAGTCATCGAGTCCAACCCCTGCCCAGAGCAGGACCAACCCCACCTCAGTCCTCCCAGCCAGGGCTTTGTCGAGCTGGGACTTAAAAACCTCCAGGGATGGAGATTCCACCCCTCCCTAGGGAGCCCAGCCCAGAGCTTCCCCACCCTCCTAGCAACATGGTTTTTCCTCATTTCTAACCTACACCTCTCCCACTGCAACTTGAGCCCATTGCTCCTTGTTCTGCCACCTGCCCCCACTGAGAACAGCCTCTCGCCAGCCTCTTTGGAACCTCCCTTCAGGGAGTTGCAGGCTGCTCTCAAATCCCCCCTCACTCCGCTCTTCTGCAGACTAGACAAACCCAAATCCCTCAGTCTCTCCTCACAGGTCATGTGCTCCAGCCCCCTCACCATTTTGGTTACCCTTAGATGTACTTTCTCCAATTGTCCACACCCTTTCTGTAATGGACTGGACTGAACTGGACGCAGTCCTCCAAATGTGGCCTCCCCAGAGCCGAATAAAGGGGAACAATCACTTCTCTGGATCTGCTGACAATGTGTCTCCTAATGCCCCCAATCTGCCGTTAGCCTTCTTGGCTACAAGGGAGCCCTGTTGACTCATCTCCAGCTTCTCATCAACTGTCCCCAGGTACTTTTCTACTGAACTGCTACTTACCCAGTGCTAAGTGCTTGGGATTCTTCCATCCCAAGTGTTGAACCTCATCAGATTTCTTTTGGCCCAATCCTCCAATTTGTCCAGGTCACTCTGGACCCGATCCCTACTCTCCTTGCAACATTGTGGGGATGGGAAGAAAGCTTTTGTGCAGAGTGTCTAGGAGTGGGCAGGCAAGGCAGGGCAGAACCAAAGCAAAGGATGTCTTGAATCCGGGTTCCGTTTGAGCCAAACCATGAATGCCCACGGGCGGGTTGGTACGAGGCGCTGGCTTTGGGCCCTCACACAGAGATGCTGTGACTGCTTATCCTGGTGGCTCTGGCCAGGATAAGCAAGATCCTCACCCGTCAAAGCTGGCAAAAGGGTGTTGCAGGGAGGAGGGAGCCCTGAGGCCGCTTGCTGCCACGGAGCAAGGGGAAGGGGGGGTGGGGCGCTGACGTACACAGCCAGGGGGCATGGCTGTGTACATCAGTGTTATAGACACACAGACACTGGGCTACTATATATATGATAAGTCAATTTTTTAAAGGTTTTGGTTAATTAACTGGTACCAAAGTAAACACATACATACTAGTTTATAATTCCCATGAACCTTGCTAGCATTTTACTCTCCAGCTCCCTGGTTCCACAGCTGATTTTAATGTGCCTATGAACCCTTTTATCCATTCAGTCTTTTTGTTCTTAAATTCCTTCAGAACTCTTGGATGGTCTTCATCTAGGCTAGGCAACTTGCCATTGTTTAATTTGCCAATTAAGTCCAGTGCCTGCTTTTTTTAAGGCCTGAATCTTTATTAGATGAAAAAGAGTAGCCATGTCTCAGATATTTTCTCATCAGCCTCGGTGCTGACAACTATTACAAAGAAATAATTTAGCTTCTTTGCAACATCCTTAGTCTAGCTCCTTTAATGGATCTCTTAGGATGGATGAATTAATCCACTGATTCTTTGGCTTACTCTCTTTTTACAACACATGCAAATAATAACTTGCTTTTTTTATTTTTGGTTAATTGTTCTTTCCCTTCCCATTAACCAATCTACTTTTCATTTTAGATTTTGCAAATAATTCCTGTTTCTTGCACTGAATCACATGATATTAAAAACCTATTCCAGGAAACAATTGTTGAAAATGTCAAGCAATTGCTTCTCTGATATTATAGTTGATTGCATTATATGAGGGTAGTTGAAGTTAACTACTATCACTGCTATAGGCTCCAATTTAGCAAGTATGGTAGTCTGGGCGGCTCTGGTACGACCATAGATGTTGCTGAACCAGAGATCCTCAGCAGCAGCGGTTACTGGTAGTTGGGAATGGAGCCAGCCAGTGAGGCATTAGAGCTTGAGGGTCCATGGGGCAGCAGAGCCCTCAGCTGGTGGGGCAGGGAAGCTGGCAGGAGTGCCAGAGGGCATGGCACTGCCAAGGCTGAGGAGCCCAGCAGGGAGGCTGGTGCCTTTTTCAAAGTCCTTGTCTGGGACTGGTCAAGTCCCAACAGTGCTGGACTAAGGAGGTCCAACCTGTACTAAACCATGTCAATAGTCACACTGGGACAGTGTCAGCTGGTGTAATTTGTCATAGCACCATTCAAGGACTTCCAGGGGACCAGCTGTGGAACTGCTTAATTTACTTCAAAGGACTATATTCATGTTTAAAGTTAACTACACGTGTCAGTACCCTGCTGAAGTGGAGTCTTTTTAGTTGCTTCTTTGATCACTCTTATCACTCTGTATTCACAAAGCCCTTTCCTAAAATTGTGGCTTAGATATGTTAACATAATCTTGCTGTGTTATAACCCACATGCCTCATCTTTGTCTAAAACAACACAGAATGCCTTAGCTTAGTTTATTTAACAAAAAAAGGGCATGGTCTTTGCTCTTCATCTGACAAAATTAAATGAGTTGTCCAAGGGAAACTATGTCCCATTAGCTCAGCAATGTCGCGCTGTCAGGAATCTCTTCAAACAGAAGCCAGATGTTCTTTAAAGTTCAAAGCCCATAATTTATCATAATTTATCATAATTAAAACATATCTGGGTTGTTATGTGATCATCAATCAAAGCTGCAAAACATTTCCCAGCTGCTTTTCTACTCATTGGCTTACAGAACGTGCTGCAAAATTATCCGGTATATTACAACAGTGAGGTTTGCTATTGCACTGTTAGTATAAAAGGAAAGTTGTTAGGCATATGCACAGATGACCCTGGACTCTGCTATGCATTATATTTAGGGAAGATGCTATGGCTTGATGTGAGGAAGCTTTCATCCCAATGGAATGAAATAGGATGAGTTTACTCCACCCCTTTCTTGCTTTCATATGTATCCTTGGAACATATATTCCAGTTGAATAATATTAGAAATTGACTATTTATATAATGCACTTACCCAAAGACAGATTAAAAAGTATGGGTGACAGGAAGACAGCCATGTACAGTGCAGCTGTAGGAAACTTGTGAATTTTGAAATCACTGAGAGTCTGTCACTCCACTGGAGTTCCATAGTGGAGGTCTGTCTGTATGGCATCAGAAGCATTAGGCGACCATAATGTGCTGAATATTAACAAAAATACTCTGGCATTATGTAACATTGCTAACCATTTTGTACCTGCAAATATAACAAGCAGTCCTTTGGCACCTTAAAAAATAACAGATTTATTGAAGCATAAGCTTTCGTGGGTAAACTGATGAAGTGGGTTTTTTTACCCCCAAAAGCTTATGCCCAAAAAAATCAGGCAGGGTTTAAAGTGCCAAAGGGGGTTCTTTTTTTTCTGCAGATGCAGATTAACATGGCTACCCCTTTGAGATTTGTCATTTTGTACCTATTTCTCTAGATTCAGATTACTTTTCATACAAAGGAGTATAAAAGTCTAAGAATTTGCTCACTTTGATTATTATTGTAATAAATAGAAACCACGTGTAAAATATATAAGAACTAAATAAGCATAATGTTTTATTGATCAGAAAATTAATACTTAGTTTGCCAACAATTAAAATGAATGTTTCATAGGAACAGAGTGAAAATAAGACCAAAATAATTTCACATTTTTCATTTCATGTCATTCATTCTTGATAAGCAATAAATACACTGCTATAGCTTCCGTTAATCTTATTTACACAGTACAACAGATGAATGTTGTTTGATTTCCAGCATGACTGTTTTATGACATGAATTGGTAACATAAGAAGATGTGCTTTAACATGGGTTCTGCCAAATACGCTAACAGAACATTACCTTGAAAAAAAATGAATGACAAAACAATTAGTAAATTAACATTAAAAAAATGGAAACAACTCAGCAGCCAGCCGTGAGCATGACCTAACTTCTTTCATAACTGACAGCAGTAGCATAAAAGCAGACACAGATCCTCATTTGAAGTAACAAACACCCATAAATATATAAAACTAACATTTTGGTATTAGAGATACCAAATACAAAATGAACTCCTAAACATTCCTCCAACCCTCTTTGAGACTTCAAATCCTCACTGAGTAACATACTAACAGCAAACTATAGTTACAGATTAATACTTGCCTGGGAAAAAGGAACTCTTTAAAAACTCCCATAACTGTCCTTGGTTCAGACCAAAGATAGCAACTACACCAGCATTTGCCACAATCGCAGACCAAAGTATATAAGACAATGTGAGAAATCAGCATTAGGATTAGATTCAAATTTATTCTATTAAAGGCGCATTTATAACATGTTCTTGGCTGCCTGCATATGTGAGGGTCACAATGGCTACAAAGGATTGTTTCTCCCCTTTCCTAACAGTGTACTTGGACTACACTGGGCCAGTCCATTCTGAGCTGTTAGAATGGACCAATATGCCCCTCTGTTAAGAAGTACAAATCAACTACTTTTGAATTAAACATCTGCATAAAACTCTTTAACTCTGTAATGGCTACTTGGAGGACAAATGGACAATATGGGCCAATTCCCAAGCCAGTGAAATTCCCTTGATTTCAAGTGAACCACATGATTTACAGCCGCTCAGGCCTTGGTCCCATGCATGAAAGTCACATTGGAGCTGCTGCCAATGCACCATGTAAGTCTTCTGGGCAGTTTCAGCCAGAGTGATTTTTTTAAATTGTTCGATTGGTCAATAAACACATTGATAAGTAACCAGCATTCACAAAAGAACATGGTGACATTTGATTTCTGGCACTGGGGTAAGCACAACATCTGGCTGATGCTCAGACATTCTTTTGTCAAACTGTCATTATCAGCAGAGACTTCTTGATCTGGGCAAATGAGATTCTATCTTATTATGAGTAATATTAATCCACCAACTAATGATTTCCTTTTAAATTCAATCACCAGCCACTGGAAGTTTTAAAAACCAAAGTTGCAAACAACTGTGATTCAGACAAAAACTATTCACATTCTTATGAAATCTCAAACTGACAAGCCCTTTGATGGCTGGCTAATTAGCTGTCCACTGAAGTTATTAGAAGGGTAATGACATCAACCTGAAAGACTAAACTGATTTTTTTTCACATTCAGTAATAAGCCTTTAAAACTGAGGTGTTCTGGGAAAGTATTTTTAATCCCCTGGTGTTTGCTTTAATAAAGCAGAAATATTTTTGCGTGGCAATAATCTACCATCAGCAGCAGTACCTTTCTATCCATTTCTGTAAATTTCACTTTACTCATCCTTTAAAAAATACATCTGAATAAGACTTTCTGAGAACTGCTTATCAATCATCCCCCTTTTAGTTTTCTTCAGTTGTATTGAAAATACACTATTTGTATAAATCATAGCGTATTTATAAAAACACATAAAATGCTGTATTTAAAGACATAGTTCTCTTAAGACCTTACCAACCCTTTTATCAATTGTTTACTATGACCCCTGTTCTTGAACCCTTATTCACAATCCATAGAAAAGCCTAATCACTTGATGTGAGAAAGGAAAACTGATTCAAGCCTTGTTCACTCAAGCACTGCAAAATAATCCCGAATTTCCCAAGACAAGGAATCGTAGAAAGGCTCCAGAAGATGTTCAGAAGACAGAATTGGAAAAACCATTGGAAAATATCCCAAACCACCCTTTCTTATTATGCTAGGCCCAAGAAGCTGTCTCTAAGATAAAATTTACTTGAATGTCATGCAAGCTTGCTTGTCTTTCTGAGACAAACCTCCCACAGTATCAACAGGGTTTGTCCTGCCCGATTGATACCTAAGAAGCTAAGTATTGGCATGTGGCAAGGAAAATAATTTTCCTTACATGTATGCAATCTTGCTCCAGAAATCCTGCCCAACTTTTAATAAAGAGCTTAACCACTAGTTTAAATGTCATAAAAGTCAAATATAAGCATGGGCTTATCAGCTTTTTCAGATCAGGCCCTCACTGGTCCTGCTCCCATTAAAGTCAATAGGAAACTGCCCTTCATCAGTAGCAACGTTGGACTCTTTGAATAGTTAAATAACCAAAAACCTCATGTAAAATTATACATTGCACAGCTGGAGTTTCATACCTCAGATTTGGGGAATTGGCATCTGGGCGCCTTTATAATATCGCTGGTTTAAAAGAGCCAGATAATTATCAACAGGTCAATCTCCATTATATTCAACTGTCTTTCTTGACAGAGTTCGAGCTTACCCATTTACTGAGGTTGTGTGTACTGGCTGAATTTATAAAATGCATTATGATTAATACAGTATTTACAAGATCAGTTCTTGCAGGCAAATGAAATGGCCTTCAATACAATACAGTCTTTACACAAACTTACAAGAAATTAAGAAATCCTTCATTGATTCCCTTCATACAAAATAATTGCCAACTTGGTCTACACAGTAGAAACTGAAGAGGCACAGTCTGTAGCTTTATATATGTACTTATATCTATGTATGAACATATATATGTGTAGGTGTGCATACTGTAGCCACATGCACATATGCATATTTATATACACATGAGAAATACACTGTCTTAAGTTTGCATCATTCAGGAAAAAACACGTCCCAAGTCAGGTAAAAATCTTCTGGCCAAGAAGTCATTAAATCAAACTTCAAGTTCATGAACTATGAGGACTCGAATGCTGGCAACAGTCTTCTGACATCAACCGTACAACTTCTCAGTTTTTAAAACAACATGCTCCATGTCATGGTAGCTTTTCCCATTTAAATGTTCACTGGTGAAATCATGATTGTAGCTATAGCCCTGAACATCACTGATGGAGGATACCGTGTAGGAAGCTGTGCGTATAGTATCTGAGTGGGTAAAGCTGTGCTCAAACTGGATTTTGTACTGATTCCAGTGCCTTCTCAAAACAGCTTGGACCTATTCCATGAAAAGAATAAGGGAAAATAGATACATACATTACTTGGAAAAGTGCCTTATGTACTGGACTTAAAATTAGTATATAACATCAAAATCATGTCACTTGAGCTGTTATGGAAGAAATACAAATTAAATTAGACTAATTGCAAAATTACAAAACAGAGATACAAATTAAATCTGGACTAATATTTAACATTTTTAATACAGTCAGTGCCAAAGAAAGATTTTGGATTTATAGCTATGGGCTATTCTATACCATTGGCCACAAAAGTACAAGTTTCCACACACTGCTTCAACAATATGCCTTTTATCCTAATGTGGTTAACTAATGGTTCTCTCTGCTCATGATTAATATGGGTAGATTCTCACCAGTATCAGTTGATAGAGAGCTACTGAAATTCACACCAGATGAGGATCTAGGCCAAGTCTCCTTTCGTTTGTGATCAAGCACTCAGAAAACTAAGGGAAAGTTGGTTTCCCCAAACTGACTTCAGCACATGTTCTTAGACTAGTTAAAAATAAATTTAATAGAACAGCCAAAGACCTCAGCAGCCTCAGTTTGTTTACATGTTTCATTGTAAGGATGTTATGTTTTTTTCATTGGTTTCCTCTAATACAATATGGCAAAACACCTGTGCAACAGGAAGATTGGATTTACTACAGTGCTGTGTTAATGAAATTCACATGGAATTAGTTTTTAAGGGAAGGAGGCCAAGATAGGAGTGATCAGAATGCTGGAACAACTGCGTGTAAGAAAATTACATTTATGGAAAGGCTTATTTTCATTTTTGCTCAAACGTATGAATCAGGAATTATTCATTAGTCCTACCACTTAACTATATTATGGACCAAAGTGAACATACATGTAACTTCACTGAAATCAGTGGAGTTAGAGAAGGAATAAAATTTTAGCTTGACTTCCATCTCATCTACATCCTAGCTTCCTTTTTTGTACAGACAAAATACCAGGTGAATAAGTGCTAAATTGTGCCAGAGTAATTTTGAGTTGTTAATAATGGGAGTGCTAAAAGAGATACCACGTGTTACAGACCTGGTCTGCAATAGCTTAACTATTCATTTCTTGCTAGCTAAGTTTTTTCAATTATGGGTTTCCAACTTGTAATGAGCATGATTTTCATAAAATACTGAGGTGCAGTTGTCTTGTCACAGGCCATACATGTCTCAAATTGGCACTCAAATCATGAGCCACATTGGAAAATCTCACCCTTTGTTTTTATTTTGTCAGATTTACTTGGAATATAACATACCATTTACAGATGGATCAATATCTGTTAACAAGAAAGTACTATTATGGGGCAACAACTTCTATTCAGTTTTCCTTATGTTTGGTTGGTTTACATTGTCAAACACAATAGCTTACTTTGTCCAGTTTGTCTCTGGCTTTAGTTATGATAAACAAATACAAATAGAAAAGCACAGACATAATATTTAGACTTCCTGCAGTCTGCTAGCCCCCTATGCTGGGAAAGAAAATAAATTTTGGGGAGTGGAGAATTATCAAAAGAATTAAGAAAACAGAAAATATATATTACTTATTTACTGTTATTCCATAAACTACATAAACTACATATTCATGCTACCACTTCTTTCGGATGCTTCGCATTCTGTGAATTATAATGAGGTGTTGCTATGTCAAGTGATTTTAAAGGGACTTATTGAAGATAAGACATGTCAAATTAAAGTCCACTGTAACAGAAGTCTTTAAAGATGGAAGATTATGAGTTATGCCTGCCACATTTCTGAGTTATGCCTGCCACAGTGTCATTTCTGTGACTGAATCTATTAAGAGACCAAAAGAACTCTTGATAGAGCAGATTTTTTGCATGATTGTTTAACTTTTTGCCATTATCCTCTTTGATCCATTATACCTTAAATACTATCCTTTTTTTGTAGTAAAATATAATGAAAAACCAGCTTAAAAAAGTAGACTATTGTCACTGGAAGATCTAAAGATGATGGGAGACAAAGTTTAAAACATAAGAATCTGCACAATGCACTGTAAATGGGCAAAGATTGGCTAAGATTAAAGATTGTAGTCCAGACGGGTATGGCTCCTTTATGTGCTTCAAGTGATTCTAAAGAGCTGTAATCTGTCCACAAATGCCTAGCAGAAAATCACCTTGTTAAAAGGGGACTCCCTGCGTGTACATCTGCTTGTAGAGGGCAGGGCAGAGCTAAGCTTTGTTAAACTGATACGCCAACAATGTAAAGTCCATCAAAGATGCTAAATTAGTTGCATAACTGAGAGCTGTCTGACTCCCTGACACTCATTAAAGAGAGCTTTGGCTCAGGAGAGAATATAGCGAAAGAACAAATTGTATATTCATAGTATTGGAACCCAAATAGAAGAAATAATTGACTACAAATGCCAATAGAACAAGTTTTAAATTTAAAACCACGGGCAGGCTTGATTTTTGTTCATCGGTGGAAAGAAAATGTTGTTAAGAGATACCCATCAATGAAAAATAATTATAGCTGATCAAAGGATGGCAATTATATTTGAATCCATTTTGTGTTTGTTTCACAGTAGAACAAAACTAAAACCTTTCAGATGTTTGCACAGAATGGAATTCTGTCAAATTATGTTTTCAGATCAATCCCCAAGCATTTTGATTGAGGAGAGTGGTGAGGAAGGGATGGTGATTAGGGTATAGGAATGTGGGACAAGATTCAATTGGGTTCAGAATCATCTGGGATGAAAAACTCTGCTCTGTAACAGGGAGAGTAGGAGCCTGATAAGGGGTCTACTGCATACCAGAACAGAACATAAATTATTATAAGTGTGTCCTCTCATTCCCGAAGAGGAATTTCTTTCAAAACGGATATGAGTCTGCAAAATGTTTCAGATTCAGCAAAATAAATGTATTTTGTCATAACGTCATTGGGTCAAAAATGTTTTGACCCGCTCCAAAAATAATGGTGGAGAGAGGAACTTCTCCAAATGATAAGAAAGTTGCAGTTCAGGTTTTGGTTGATTCGGATTTTCAGTGTGCATTTGAATCAGTTCTTCTCTATTAGTCAATTGATATACTTGTGTCTCATATGTTTTTAAAATGACTAATAAAAATAGCTAATGGCTCAGTCCTACTAACTCTTACTCCCACATATCTGCTTGCTTACATATACTGCAACTGAACTTGAATTATGTGTAGGAATAAGGAATTGTGTAGAAATAGGTGCGTCCTGGATCAGTAACTGTATTTGTGATAGAACTATGGGGAACGTACCAAATTATGCTCTAATTCGCTAGTAAAAACAAAACTGATGGCAAAGCTCCATGAACTTCTGTGATGTAGTGACAGGGCCTTAGTCAACTGACAATTTAGGGCACAGGCCTTTGAGTTCAGAAGGAGCATCTATGTTCCCCCCACTGTCACCTGAAGGGGAGGACTAGACTTCCAGAAGAACGGAGGTCCAACTGAAGCAAAGAAATCTTTTTGGTGGCCCAAATGTACAAAGGCTGAGCCTTGAGCACTTCTCACTTGTGCTGAAAAGGCCATTTGTAAAACATAAGCCCAGAATGCTGCCCCCCAAAATGAAAAATGTGAAATACCACCAAGAGTTGACCTATTCCTTCCATATCACATGGTGAAGTTAAGTGTTCATGAAAGGTACCATGTTAGCAGTCCTAGAGATGGATACCTCAACCTGATTACAGAGCAGTTATTCCTTAGAAAGCAACAGTACAATTTTCCCAGTCCTTTCCCATTAAATTGCCACGTTCCAGAACTGTAAGGATCAATTCAAGGCTTGTTGAGAGTAAGGCTGTTAGAGTGATGACATTTTTCTAGCTTCTCAGATGAGAATACACGCCCATAAGGAATTTATGTTTTTATTGTTCACTACTGAATTTGCTTTCATCATAGAATTGTTGATATTGTTATATATATACATACCAATCTGAAAAGTGCTGAGTACAGTTAATTACTTCTGAAGTCCAGGGAATTTTAGGCTGCTCAGTACTAATAGGTTTAAACCCTTAGGAATGTCATGAAATATTTTAGAGGGAAATCTCAAAACTAAACTGAGGTCTTGCTAGATAAGTTACTTTATCCGTAACATTTTTATTAATTTTAAAATGAAAGTAAAATGAATTAAATTAAATTAAATTAAAATTTCTATTTACAATTTTACATTTGTTATTGGGATCACAAATAGGGGGTAGTGGCGTTAAACCAAAAAAACTTTTTAAGCCTAAATGAACATTAAGAAAGTGACAAGAACAGGAAATAAATTGAAATCTGTAACTATACCTCTCCATTGAAAAAGCAGAAAATTGTAGCCACCAACAGACCCTGCAAAATAAAAGGTTTTCTTTTGAGTTTTTGCAATACATACAGATTTTTTTGAAATGCAAGAAAAAAAAATAATTTAAAATCTAAACTCAGTGGATTATTAATATTACAGATGGTCCATTGGGCCAGCACTCTAGCATAACATTTAATTCAATTTAAATAATTAATACAAATGAAAAATATAAAGCATTAATAAGCAAAAATATTTATAAAGATCTAAAAGAAGTTTAGAAATTAATTAATTTTTCTTTGTCATTCATTTATTTGCAGTCATACTGCAAGTACTGTCTAGCTCAAGAAAATAAGTGCTACTTAAAGCATCCTACCTGGTAATGCATAAGGATATGCATCACATAGTCATATATTTCTTCAGCAATTAGGCCTTCTGGTCGCCATGGAATCAGCACAAATTCAATGCCAAGAAGCGGCACTAGAATGAGTGTAGCTCTCACAGCTTTCATATATAGATTGGATTCTGCCTGGTGTGTGACTTTGAGCTTCGTTATGAGAACTCGAACAATATTCAATAGGAAAAAGAGATTCACCTGTGAGAAAGAAAATTGCTTTTGTAACAGTCTGAAAAGAAAGACTACAATTATTTTGTACTGACTATGGAAAGTAAGAGAAACATTTACCTGTTACTACAGAAAACTCAGACTACATGTTATGTCATTATAGATCTATTCATAACAACAATAGATGGCATCTGAAACATCCTCTGTCTGGCTGAGATCTACACTCCGCATTTGAGAAGAATTAATCTCCATGACAACATCCTTCTTGTGATTCTATACCCATATTCACATGTTTAATACAAGCATCAGTCTTTGCAACTTGTACTGTCTAACAAGACAGGAACCCACCCCCAAAAGACTTGCAGTTTAGCAGTTTGATCCTACATGGCTTGCATATTCAAAATTCACATCAACATTGGTAGGCATTTTTGATGATCAGGAAATGCAGGATCGGGATGTTAATCTGAATGGGTGAAATTGTAGCCCTACTTGCCAATGGAAGTTTTACAATTGATTTCAAGGTGGCCAGTATTCCACCCAATGTTATTGGACCAATCTTGATGATGAAGAGAATATACTATAATAGTGTTTCTCAAAGTGTTCCATGAGCCCAATTTGGGAAAGCCGCTAGTGGGCCCAGGCCACTTAGTTTACATAAGGGGTCTGTAGCCATGAAGCCTTGTGGCTCCCATTGACTCCAGTTTACCTTTTCTAGCCCTGGGGAGATGTGGCAAGCAGGGTGGCATCAGAGTGGAGTTCCACCTAGCCAGCATTAGCGGGGCATCAGCAAGGCGGGGAGCCCCAACTAGAGGAGATGACAGCAGGGCATCCAGTGGAGGGGTGGTATGGACCTCCCTCGGTCCAGCTAACTCTCTGGTCCAGGTCCCAAGGGTGCTGGACCAGGAAGGTCCAACCTGTATTACAGTTTAACTAAGATTCCATCCCTATTTTCTAGAGCAGATCAGAAGTTTTCCATCAAAACTTTTTTCAACATAAAATGGATGGAATTTTTCAAGAAAAAAAATCCATTTTCCTCAAACATTTTTAGGTTTTCATTGAGCACCCCCCAAAAATCTCCCCCCAGATTTCAGCTTGGACGTTTCAGCTTAGAAAAGAGGAGACTAAGGGGGGATATGATAGAGGGCTATAAGATCATGACAGGTATGGAGAAAGTGAATAAGGAAAAGTTATTTACTTCTCACCATAACATAAGAAGTTGGGGGTCACCAAATGAAATTAATAGGTAGCAGGTTTAAAACAAACAAAAAGAGGTTTTTCTTCATGCAACGCAGTCACCTGTGGAACTCCTTGCCAGAGGATGTGGTGAAGGCTAGGATTTTAACAGGGTTAGAAAAAGAGCTAGATAGATTCATTGAAGTTAGGTCCATCAATAGCTATTAGCCAGGATGGGTAGAAAGGGTGCCCCTAGCCTCTGTTTCTCTGCAGGTGGGTGACAGAGGAGGGATCATGTAAGGATTACCTGTTGTGTTCCCTCCCTCTGGGGCATCTGATATTGGCAACTGTTGGCAGACAGGATACTGGGCTGGATGGATTCTTGGTCTGACCCAGTATGGCTGTTCTTATGTCCTTATGTTGTTCATCAATTAAAAAAGTAAAAAACTAGGAGCAAATTCTGTTGTCAGTTGCAATTTTTCAATGTGTCTGCAAGATATTCCACAGTAGACCCATTGTAAATGCACTTGTAACTTTAAGGCACAGACAAAGTGGAAAATACTCAGATTGTTCAGTAATATTGCAAATAAAATGACATGTCCATTAGCTACAATGGTCTGATGGCACTCTCTCTGTTACGTTACCATAGAGCACAAGGTCGTTGAAAATCTGGTCCAAATTCCTGAAACATGCTTTTAAGGCATTTAGGTGCTTAACTCCCACAGATTTCCCATTGTCCTTTGAGGATCTAGGCCAGGGCTACACAACATGTGGCCCCTGGGCCACATGTGGCCCGCAGCCTGTTCGTTTATGTCCCATGGGTGGGAGCTAAAACAAAAGGAGTCAATATAATGGTCTTCCATTGAGATGCATTTTAGTAGTTAAATTCCTCGACTGTTGTTGCTCATTAAAAGTGCTGACATATGGGTGGAAATTGGGTAAATATTGAATTTTATTAATATATGCAAAACTGACTTAAATGGGGCCTGTGTGTTGCATAGTCTTCCCTTAATCTTTGTATGCATGCCCATCAGCGTAAAAAGCTATTTGCATACATTTGCATATATATTTGCAGCCCTCAGCATGTGCTGTGAGTATCATCGTGGCCCTCGGAGCTTCCAACGTTAAGTAGCCCTGATCTAGGCTTTTGCTTCCTTGTTAGAGGGTGATCCCAAGTCAGCTCCTCTTTACCTCTCCCAGTAAAACACTTTGTTCCTAATATTCAGTAGGTTTCAGAGTGAATGAAACTACTTGTGGTCTAGTTCACAAGCATTTGCCCTAAATCTAATTAAAAACAATACGTGAGCTTCACAATAATAAACCACTAGAAGATGCAAGCACAACAAATATCTAGCTATTTATTGTTGTTTATTTATTTGCGGTAGTGTCACAGACATGCAGGAGGAGAAGTCACTTCCCTGAAGAGTTTACAGTGTAAGCACAGCCTGGTAGACAAGTAAAGAAGGTTGGGGGGAAGGTGATGAAATAGACCTAAGTGCACTACATTTTCATGTATCATTGTACTGGTTGGACCTCCCTCATCTGGCACCCTCAGGATCTGACTGGTCCCAAATGAGGGGATTTTCTGGACCGGGGAGGTCCCTCCCATCATGTCCCATGCTGCCCTGTTACCCCCAGCTAGAGTTCCAGTCCAGCCCCATGGCTGCCTGCCTGGCCTTGGCTCCCCAGGCTGAAGCCCCCTAGCTACCACTGGGACTGGAGCTCTGTTGACAGGGCTGTAGCTCTATGGCTGGGGCCAGAGCTCTGTGGCTGCTGCTGCGACCCCCACTACCACGCGGCCACAGAGAACTCCCTGCTGCGCTGCCCACCCTCTGCGCTCCCCCTTCACCCCAACACAAGGCTCCCAGCTGCTGGACCACAGATATTGCTGGACCAGAGAGTCCTGGTTAAGGGAGGTACAACCTGTGTAATAGCTGCAGTTTAAGCTCAGACATGTTGTATGGAGCAAAGTTAATGACTCTGCTTCCAGCTTATGAGACCAGTACTTTTAAAGATAGCAGAGGGCACTTCCCTCCAAACAGTAATGTCACAGGCCAAGCCGTTGGTTAACTTTCCTTGTGTAAAAGTGTTTAGGGATGAAAGAAACTTTCCATTCTTAGTTCTCCAAATTGGTATTTTCATCCCTCAAAAGAGGCATCATATTAATCATCATCACCTAGGACTCATGGAGGATATCTGTAATGCAATCCCATGTCTCTGAACAAGAATGAGGCACAGACCGATGTAGCTTTAGAGTATAGGCTCCCATGTTTAAGAACTTGGTCTACATGTAGTTTTTAATGAGCATGGAGGAAGGTGGAAGATCTCCCAGCAGGTGGACAAATGCAAGGATTAGGGGAAGGAGCCAGTACGAGCAAATGGTCGCCTTCCTAAAACAATCAGGACTTCCTCCTCTATGGCGTAGCTCTTTTCTGTCTCAACGTTCTGATCTGGTTAGTGACTTCTGTATACAACAGTATTTCTGTCACGTAAATTACTCATGATAAGAAGCTGTTCATGGTTCTAGACACATGAATTAAGTGGATGTACTATGTTACTTATATTCCACTTATGAGCTATTTAAAACAATTTAATAGGAAATTGCTTTACATAGGAAACTTCTGCATGAATTTCTGCTGGAAACTACCAACTAACTTTTAGCTTTGTTTAGACAATCAAGGTCTTCTGATTCTTTCCCAAAGGATTTATTTAAGTATCAGGCAGCCTAAAATCCCCATCTAACTTCCTATTACGCATTCCAATAATATGTCCTTCATTCACTGCTAATTTTAAGTTCTCTCACTTAGATCTATTACTTACTGGTCCTTAAACTTGTAGTTTACATATCTCTGAAGCTGTGGCAATCTGACTGAATTAGTACAAAATATTTTTAACACAGCTCTCAGCTCGAAGATTGATTAAACACCAAACTAACAAAGTTACACACAATTGGAAGGCTAATTGTAGTGGTACAAATGAATCAAAGTAGAGTGGAGACCTGAGGAAAGGAGCAGCAGAAATATGCAGCAATCTTTTTGGGCAGTAATAGAGACTTTTTCCAAAATGCTGAAGCACAGAGATTGTGATGGCCTGGTTTCTTACAAAATTAGCAAAATCGAGCCCTGATTTAGGAAATTACTTTAGCACGTACAAAACTTTAAGCATGGAATGTCACATTGTCTTCAATGGGACTGCTCAAGTTTGATTATTATATGTATTATGGTTAGTGACTACAAGACCCAACTGAGTTTGGAATCCCACTGTGCTAGATAGTACAAACATATAGGAATAGGTATCTCGGCCTCACAGAGCTTATTCAAGTCAAGTCAGATCAAGGTGGGCAGGGGAAATGGATGTACTTAGAGGGGAAATGACTCGCCCATGGTCATACAGCAGGTGAGGGGCAAAGGTTGAAACATAAGGTTGGTTTACCACATTTTAGTCCAGTGCCCTCTCGATTCCCCTATACTGCCTCTCATGATAAAGTTTTGTACCATGCTGAATCTACCTTGCCTTGTTAGCTATCTTGATGAATTGGTTCCTTGAAAAACTGCCAAGTAAAAAATATACTAAAGTACTGTAACATGAGGTTCCTACTTTTAGAACAGTAGAAATAATTTTAAAAAAAACCTTTATTTCAGTGGTAGAAATAAAAACATTACCATAGAAAAAATATTTTGTCAATATAGCTTAAGTCAAAACAGCTGTTATTTAAATTAAAAACAACTGCTTGTGGCAGGTTTGATTACAGGGACTGTCTCTGAATGTATGGAGATATACCTATCTCTTAGAACTGGAAGGGACCTTGAGAGGTCATCGATTCTAGTCCTCTGCCCTCACAGCAGGACCAAGTGTGCTGATCACACCACTGAGACCACATACCTGACCTCTGGGACTCCTCACTCCCTCTGCCCTGCTGCACCATTAAACTCTGGTCTCTCATAGTCAAGCCACAAAGTTTGGGTAAAAGCCCCCCAGCAGAGCAATGCAGACACTGAACCAGCTCAGCTCTGGGAAGGTTCAGCTATCAGGCCATTGTTAGCACCCAGGAAGATAGCCCCAATGAGGTCCAGAACCCCAAATAAATCCATTTTACTTTGTATAAATGTTTTACACACAGCAAATGCTTATCGGTTCATCCTCTTATCAGTGAAAGAGAGATATGCACAGTGTTGCCCCCCTCCAACTAACAATTATTTACACTGAGCTTAATAATAAACAAAAGTACTTTTATTAAGTATAAAAAGTAAGATTTAAGTGATTGCCAGTGAAAACAGACAGATCAAAGTAAGTTACTAAGCCAAAATAAACAAACACACCAGCTAACCCTTATCCACTAGGGCTGTGTCCAGACTCCATGCCTCCGTCGACGGAGGCATGTAGATTAGCCAGCTCGGAAGAGGGAAATGAAGCCGCGATTAAAATAATCGCGGCTTCATTTAAATTTAAATGGCTGCCCCGATCTGCCGATCAGCTGTTTGTCGGCAGATCGGGAGAGTCTGGACGCGATGCCCCGACAAAGAAGCCTTTCTTCATCGACACAGGTAA